GAGATGGAGCAGAAGTGAGGACTTGCCTGTCTTAACTTGGGAAAACCCACAGGTGCTGCTGCTTTATCTGTGAAGCGCTCGTTCTTCTAGGAATGCCTGTTCCTTAATGTTTCCTAAATCAGCCCCTTTCCATGCTGTACACCTACCGTTTCCAGATGACCCCACACCTAAAGGTCATGAATTCTACTGATGAAAATATCTAGGAGTGGAAGAGACCTCCTTGGACATTCTTAATACACTTGGATCCATAATGTCTACACTTGATGCTCCACCAAGCCTTCACCCTGTGATGGCATACTCTTATAGAAATGCTGTGGCCTTGTGTGTACAGGCCTCTGCAAGTCCTAATGATTCCTTTGACAGCTTTTTTTTTTTAATCAGGCAATTATGTTAAAATTTTCAGTTCAAAGCTTTTAAATATGGCTCCCTCCATTTAAAAAAGTCAACTAAAGGACTGCCATGTGATGGGACAGTGGTGTGAAGGTGTCCCCTTCACTGCCGGTCTGACAAAGACCTGAAAGATTTGCATTTTATTGTGTCTCTTAATGCTGTTCAGTAGAATGATGCTTTTTGTAAGTGTGAGTCTTACCAATGACGTAACAGTTTAATATCTTTGAATGTTTTAATGGCCAAGTTGCTGCTGAATTTATACTAAATCAGGGGATCAAAAAACTAGCTCTTACCTTTCCAAACTGTATTCATACCATTAATGTATCAGTTACCCCAAAGCCTCAACTCACTTTGGCCACTCGGCCACATTGGTGAGGAATGCATCAAAGTGGCCGTATGAAATCGAGATCTTGGTTCATGGAAGGGAATAATGAGATCATGATATTTGTTAGGTGTGGTCAGTTAGGTGGCTTAGGTTCAGCCATTCTGGAATTAGTGCTGGTATCAACAGATCTGAATCCTTGTTTTTACCATGTGAACAGAACAGTTCGTGGAAGTTAATACTAGTGAAAGGCACATGGTTTCATTTCTTCTAATAACACTTTGTGTTTTTCTAAATGATGTGTATTGTTCTTTTTCAGCTTTATTTTTCAAAGTGCCAAGTCAGAAAACCAACAAAGGGCTTGTGGCTGGGCCCTGCTTGGGACATTACAGCTAGAAACCAAGTTCATGTGACAGCCTTTGCTTTACTAGCATTGGTGTTCACTAAAGAACACCTTGCCACTTGTTCTCTAGAATTAAGTGTGTCCTTAACAGTACATCTCAGTGGTCGTGAACTTTTTAGAGGTGAATATACAGAATAGCTTTTCCTGAAATGAAACCCAAATTCTGCTCTAAGTTTCAAGTCTTTGATGAACGTCTAATGCATTGAGCTGGAAAACCAGCCCTCCTCACCCTCTGTTACCTGTGAACATGAATGTACACGATCCATGACTACTAAGACTGTGTTCTTAGCCCTGCCTTCTTTTGTTTGTGGATCTAATGCAATGTTGGACCGCTTTGGCAGCAGAGGGCACTGAAGCCATATGGGATGGGGAGTGCATTCCTTCAGTGTTTCTCCTGGAGACTTGCCATCTCTTTAGTCCTGGACTCGAGTGTCACAGTATTAGGAACTTTGCCCCAGTCTGAGCTGTGCCTTTCCTTGCTCACAGGCATTGTTTTGTCCTGGTGATGAGTTTATAAGCCTCCCCTCCCTGCTCCTTAATAAAGGCTACATGATTGGTAGGTGGTGATTAAAGTGTCTGCCTGTGAGGATGCACTTGTACTGACAAAGATTGCCAAGTGTATCTGGTGGAACTCTGGGTGGTGATGGGATCTGATCCAGCGAAGAGGACTTTCGGTCCTCACTGAAGGGAACTGGCTTTGGAACTCTGTCAGCCTCAAGGAAGGAAACATTGTATTTTTGGCTCAGTGTGCTTGGTTAATCTTTGGTGATTTCATCTGAATGAGATTTGCTGAATTAGTGAATATTAAATTTAAAACTAATTATGAGTGGAAAAATAAAAAGGGTAGTGCTTATTGTCTGAACTTGCTGTGTTTTTGAGCTAGCCCCAGGTTACCAGAAACCAAGACTCGCTACTCCATTGATTTCTACTTATTCCCAGCATTAAATATGTTTATTGTCTTGTCACGCTCACACTTGTGCCAGGTTTTATCCCTGCTCTCTTAGAAGCTTCTTGGCTATGAATTTGTCATGGTGTCCTGTGGTGTGGGTCTCTGGCGGGATTGTTTTACAGTAGCAGCCCAGCATTTTCCCCAAGTTTTTTCCTTTATTATTACTAAAATTCCATGATAGTTAAATATTCAATGATCTTTCTGTATAGCAACTTGTTGATAACTTTAAGTTTCTGGTTAATTTTAATTATAGCAGGTTTTTGGGGAGAGGGTGAGTAGGGCCTTTGATTAATGTCAATTAAATTTGGATTTCTAGTTCTTGAAGAAAACCTTCCCAACACCCACTTCTCTTTTATATTTGGCAAAAAAATTCATTAATGGTTCCACTGACTCTGAGAATACTCTCCTGGTTGATTTTGAAAGTAGGTTACCATTTTGAGGCAACTGGATAAAAATTATGTAAATATAGACAATGACAATGTTTATAAGTGGCATAACATGAATGTACTAGCTACATTCTGTGCTGCAGATTCTTTGGAGGTATGACATGGAATTTTTTATGTTCTTTTCACCTCTCTGCTTTGTTTCAGAATGATACTCCCCAGCTCCCAAACTGCCCATAGCTATTTCTGTGACATGCCCAACACCCATTCATCCTAAGTGCTTTGGTCTTTGTTTGATTTCATGCACTGTGCCTTCAAAATGAAAAACTTCACAGGAACTTTAAAAGAATTGAATAGTAGTTTTAAAAAGTTAATCTGTGTAATTTATGTGAAATCTAACTGTAATGAGCTCCTTTGTTTTTTTATATGTAAACAGATCTACTAATCCTGTATAAAAGTTATTTTATGATGTTTGTCTTTCTTTGTGTGTTGTCTCATAATTTTTATTCAAAAACAATAGACCAAAGAAAGTTACTGCTCTAATTTTGAAAGTTTTAAGTTAAGTTTTTCTACCTAACTGAAGTAGAAAACAGTACCAAAGTCAGAAAACAGGGAGTCGCCTCTCAAATGTTCCTTTCTGTAGGAATTGACAAACAGGTTTTGTTTCGGAAGTGACGGTATCACGTAGCAGCCACAGTTGCGTAGCTCGCCCAGAATGATGTGTTCAGCCACTCCACAGAAGCACCACACACAGTAACAACCCAGGTTTTAGCACTGCGCCCACTTCACATCTATTCTGTGTGCTGTCCTTCAGATCAGGAAAGCACGAGAGGTTTATAGACCCCTGTTAAACTTGTTGGTTAAAATTATGGTCCCCGTTAAACTTGTTGGTTAAAATTATGGTCCCTGTTAAACTTGTTGGTTAAAATTAAGGTCCTTGTTAAACTTGTTGGTTAAAATTAAGGTCCCTGTTCCAGGTGAAGCCCATTTAGAATAACCTGTCCTGATGTCAGGCGTGACGATGATAAATTTAATGTCCCCTTATTATTTAACAGGTTTCTTCACTATTGCTGCTCTGCCAGGTTGGGAAAACAGTTATGTAAACAAGCATGGGCTGTGCTGACAGGGAACTCATAGTCCAGACTAGAGGAACAGAAATGACAATAGACTGTGCTTCAGGAGCGTTTAGCATCTCTCAGTAGAAAGTCTCCTGAGGAAGTTCGGAGAGGTTTCAGCCTGGCCCAGCCTGTGATTGATGTCCTATGCAATGTGACCTTGAATTTCAGGACTCTCAGAACAGGCTCAGAGTCTCTTTCATGTTTGTTAAGGAACAGTCTTCAATAGAATGACAGTGTGAGTTGATGAGGTGGAGTTGGCTCAAAACTGGATACCTGGAGTGGCCAGTGTCATTGTCCTTCATCTGTTTCCTGATCCACTTGAAAGGACTTTTCCAGCAATGTGAACAAAGGTCTTTTAGAGGTCATCTTTTCAGTTTAAAAGACATATTTAGATAGGAAAGTTTGCTAGAACTTTCTTCTACCATGTGGGTCAGTAGGTGGTCTGAAGTATGGCAGAAGTTTTAATTTTCCAGACGCTTCAGACTGTCGTTAGGTGAGATTAGGTTGTATTTATACTTCTTTGGTAAAAGCTTGTTTAACTGTTTGAAATCCTGTCCTGAGTTTGACCATTTTTTTCATGCCTGAATCCAAAAGTCTTGGTTGGTTTTATAAACACGATCTACCAATTGTGTTCAGTTTTCAGATGTCTAGGAGCTGTTACCAGCATTGTGAATACAGTAGTCACTGCTCCTATGCTTCTCAGTTATGAATAAAAGCTAGCATGCAGGTCAGCATGTCCCATTCTCACTTGCATTTAAAATCCAACTCTACTACTGATTCTCTATTACTTATAAATGTTAAATAACTATGCCATTAGTGACCTAAAACTTAAAAAGCAATGGAATCTGATAAAGCATGACATTTCAAATTACAGTTTCTACCAGCAATACCCAGTAATAGGTTTAAAGCAAGCATGCTACTTCTTTAGTACTTTTGGCTAGGGTCAAACGGAATTTGATTCCCTGGTACTGTGTAAACAAATGGGAATGAGATGAGCAAGAATGACAGGTTGGCTTCAGTGGAATAGAGTGATGGAGAAGTGTGTAAGAGTCTAGTGCAGTTTCGAGTCTCTCCTGGAAGAAGACTGAAGACAAAAGGGCACAGGTTTCATGAATAGATTGAAGGCATCGTAGTAATTAAAAGTGTCAGTATAGCTGGGCATAGTGCACGCCTTTAATCCCAGCACTCAGGATGCAGAGGCAGGCTGACCTCTATGAGTTCAAGGCCAACCTGGTTTATATAGTCAGACCCCTTATCTCCAAAGGCGGGGGTAGGCGTAGAATGGATACCTCAACTTTAGTACAAATAATGTATTCAAGTAGAAGAGTATGAAGAGACCAAGATAAAGTCACAGTTGTAGTGGAAAAGAAAACTGATAGTTGTATAAATTTAAGGTGGAACATATAGAAACAAAAGCGAATAAACACACTGTTGATAACATTGTTCATATTCTAGGATTGTTATTGAGGTTGAGCCAAAGTGAAGGAGGTGTGAGGGAGGGTTAGGCTGCTAGAGCTAGAGCTGGGGGTGTAGCTCAGTGGTAAAGCAGTGGCCTACCATGTAGAAGGCCCAGGGTTCAGGGTTCAGCCTGAGCATCACCACCTGTTAGAATTCCAAGGATTTCCCATGGCTCCAGCATCTGTACACACTGTCACTTGTGATGATCATAGTGTTTCTGGAAGAGCTCAGCGTCAAACAGGCTTTTGGGTTAGGATCTGAAAAGACATAAGGAACCTAGAATTAATCCTAAAGACAGTATGGAATGAGTGAGGTGTGGGCAGGTTATGGTAATGACAGCATTAGAGGATTGCTGGATTTTGGGAAAATAACTTCAGGAGAGTTTCGTATATATGAGGTTGCAAAGAGAATGCAGAATTGGCTGCCGAGTTTTAATGTGGAGGATGTGGGTGTTAGGGGGATACAGGGAAGGACTCTGTACTGTTTTCTCTTTAACAGGACTTGAATGGTGGTACATTTGAGGAGGAGCCAGGCATAGGAAGGAGGATGCCTAGAGCCTGGCCAGCTACACAGAACTCAGTTTCTGTGGAAGGTGTCTCCATCATAGAGGCAGAGGGGACCTCACAACTTTTTCACCACCAGAGGAACAAATAAAAAAGCTTCTCTTTGTTTCGGGTGTTGGCATTATCAAATGCTGTAAATCAAGAAACAAAAGACAGTCAACAGGGACTATCACAAGAAACTATAAAATAAGAGACTTCTGGAAACAAAATATATGAAAAATAAATTTAGAGAGTTGTTTTGGCCAGAAGATAGACTTGTGGACATTCTTAGGAGTCTTAAGAAATTTGAACTAGGTGGTGGTGGTGCATGCCTTTAATCCCAGCACTCTGGAGGCAGAGACAGGCAAATCTCTTGAGTTCGAGGCCAGTGTAGTCTATGAGTGAGTTCCAGGACAGTCAGGGCTACACAGAGAAACCCTGTCTCAGAGAGAGAGAGAGAGAGAGAGAGAGAGAGAGAGAGAGAGAGAGAGAGAGAGAAAAGAAAAAGAAGGAAAGACAAGAAGGAAGGAAGAAAAATAAAGAGGAAGAAAAGGAAGGAAGGAAAGAAAGGAAGGGAGGGAGGGAGGGAGGGAGGGAAGGAAGGAAGGAAGGAAGGAAGGAAAGGAAGGAAGGAAGGAAGGAAGGAAGAAAAACTCATTCCCAACAACAAACTAACATAGACTGAAAGTCTACTTTCAAAGTACTGGCTGATGCCTGAGTGATTCCAACATAGAATATATAATACATTCTTCAAGGATGAAGATGAACTTGCAGATAGCTGGAAACGCTGTCAGCAGCCTGGCTGTCTCCCAGTATTTCATTTCAGAATAATGCAAAACAGAAAAGGGGCAGGTGTGAGGGCACACACCTGAAATCTCAGTAATCTGAGACAAGAAAGCAGGAAGACCACTAATTTGAGGCCAGCCTGTCTCATAGCAAGAACCTGTCTCCAAGAAAAATAAAATGTATATAGAAATCATATGCTTGATATAATATGAAAGTAGAGAATGTCAGAATCAAAATTGAACAAGATGAGAAAAATAAACATCACAGCATGTCCTTGCTAATACTCCTCTACCCTTCCCCCCCAGTGGCACCACCAGGCTGGGAAGCGAACTGCCAGGAAGACAGGAATGCCAGCAAATGGATGTGCCGCTCCAGTGTTGATATAGAATTACTGCCAGACAGCCAAGGCTGTGCCGTCTGAAGGGTCTGCTAGAGCTGTTGACAGTGTCCACTTGCAGCCCAAGGAATTGTCATACAATCCTGGCATATAAGAATAAAGAGTAGATATACACAGCAAGCATCCAGTGATAGTCAATCATAAATAATTTATTTTAATTCTTTGGTACACATAACTTCACCATTAAAGATGAAAACACTTACATGCTATTGAGATAAATACACTTGTCTATTTTTACCTAAATCTGTGATACTGACACAGTGTCGTCAATTTTTTTTTTTTCTTTTCTAGATGGGGTTTCTCTTTGTAGATTTGGAGCCTGTCCTGGAACTCACTCTGTAGCCCAGGCTGGCCTCGAACTCACAGAGATCCACCTGCCTCTGCCTCCCAAATGCTGGGATTCAAGGCGTGCGCTACCACTGAACTTTATAACATAGTCTCGAATCTGAGCTGGGTGCTTCAGGCAGCTTTCATTGCCTTTGTGTGGTGTGATGTCATGCAAGGGGCAAAGTCTGGGCCGTGTGCTCGCACCAAAACTCAAGAAGTACTGTGAGAAGACAAAGGCAAGCACAGCTCCAGACACCTTGGAATCACTGCACTTTTTAGTGGAGTGTGTTTTGAACAGGGTTTTTCTGTGTAGCCCTTGCTGTCCTGGAACTCACTCTGTAGCCCAGGCTAGCCTCAAACTCAGATATCTGCCTGCCTCTGCCTCCCAAGTACTGGGATTACAGGCACGTGCCGCCACCACCCGGCATATATTTGATTTTGAATTAATTCTTTTTTTATATGATTATTCCACACCATTTTATTGATTGATTTTTATATTGTTTGCATTTGTGTTTTGCCTACACATGTCTGTGTGAGTGTGTCAGATTCTCTGGAACTGGAGTTACAGACAGTTGTGAGCTGCCATGTGGGTGCTGGAAATTGAACCCAGGTACTCTGTAAGAACAGTCAGTGCTCTTAATCACTGAGCCATCTCTCCAGGCCTTGAATCAATTCTTAGTGATGGCATGTTCAGAAACCTCTTACCACTGCCAACTCTATAAAGCATATGTTGGGTTGCTGGGCCCATGTAGAATCACCATATGGTCTAAAACAGGTCAAAGTGGAGCAGATCACAAACTGGAGAGTCGGGGCTTCAAAGTAAGCCTGATCTGAATTGGCTAGGTGTGACTTGAGGGCATCTTTGAGATGTAGCTTCTAATGAAGCATAGAACACAAAAGGAGAAGCACCCTTTTGACAATTGGGGATGAAAGAAAAGCAAAAGGCATGCCTTAGAATCCTGTCAGATGAAAACTGCAGAGTTGGAGCACTTTCTACCCTGTCACCAAAACCAAACCACTACTGAAGTATCTGAACCTTTCTCTGTGACAAGAAATCTCTGCATGAAAATAAGATATGGATACCTGGGGCTGGGAGTTGGCTCAGTGGTTAAGAGCACTTGTTGTTACTGGAGAGGACCCAGGTTCAGTATGTAGTACCCACATGATGGTTGACCATCCCTAACTCCAGTTCCTAGGGATCTGACACCCCCCTCCTATCTTTGGACACCAAGTATGCACATAGTGCACATACATGCAGGCAAAATACTCTTAAATATAAAATAACTTTTTTGGAAAAAAATGGATACAGTTCTTTTAATTGCAGATAATATGATTATATATGAAAATACAAAATAATTTACAAATTATAAATAATACAATTTAGTTCTACTTGTAACTCTGGGTAGATTGAGTTGAAACAGACTTTATTAAGAGCAATTACAAAAATTGGGCTGGGCATGATCACACACACTTCATCCTAGTAGTTGGGAAACAGGCAGGTATACCTCTGTGAGTTCCAGGCCAGCTTGACCTATGTACAGGACAGCCAGGGCTACTTAGTGAGACCCACTGAGTCAAAATAAAAACAAAGTTGGGATAGGAAAAATAAATACACACTAAAGAATTGGTGAACTACTAAGAGCTTAGTAGCCTAAAGCAAAGTGAGTTGTGAACAGGATAATAAAATGTTTGCCACAGGCATTTGCTGTTTCCTACATGGAGTTAGGAGAAAGAGTGCTATCTACCTTTAATCCCAGCACTCGGGAGGCAGAGACAGGCGGATCTCTGTGAGTTCGAGCCCAGCCTGGGCTACCAAGTGAGTTCCAGGAAAGGCGCAAAGCTGCACAGAGAAACCCTGTCTCGAAACCCCCCCCAAAAAAAGTGCTATCTAACAGCAGAGAAGTCAAGCAAGAGCAGAGCACCCGATAGGTTGGGCCTTGTCACTGATTGACAATTGTTATGTGAAGTTTTGTTTGTGCTCTAACAAATAAAGCTTGCCTGGAGATCAGAATGAAGAGCTAGCCACTAGTTAATCTATAGGCCAGGCAGTGGTGGCACACACCTTTGATCCCAGCACTTGGGATCCCATGCCTTTGATCCCAGCACTTGGGATCTCATGCCTTTGATCCCAGTACTTTAGAGGCACATGTGTTTAATCCCAGCACTAGGGAGTTGGAGGCAGGAAGTGATATGGCTGGGCAGAGAGAGGAATATAAGGTGGAAGGAGGCAGGAGCTCACCCTTTTCGGTCAGAGGATTTGGTAGAGACTCTCTAGTGGCTAGCTCCTTTACTTCTCTGATCTTTCAGCATTTACCCTGATATTTGACTCTGGGTTTTAATTATTAAGACCAATTAGTGCTACATCTGGCGTCCAATTTTTTGGGCAGGAATTCACAAAAAAGCCTCTTGCCTGTAGCTTTGCAGCCACCAGGACAGGCTGGAGCTGCACGAGGCCAGAGTCACTACCCCGCCAGCTAAGGTTTTCCTCAAACCTCTGAGTGAGTTGGGATTTTTCAGTTGCGGCCTCTCTGCAGCAAACACCATAGGCTTTTGGACTCCAAAAACCACAGGAGTTAGCTGCTTTCACATGTTCCCTTTTGAAGATGGCAGACTCTTTGGCTTCTCTCCCAGTGGGTTGTGGGTTTTCCCTGGACCCCCTCCTCAGGCTGCTGCCACACTAGGTAACTGCCTTGAAAACTGCTCAGGGTTCTATTCTATGCAGAGCAGTCAGTCCCACACTTCACTGTCATCTGAATCATCATGTTAGCAGATCTGGTGAGACAACTGGGAATTCTTAAAGTGGGCAATTAGTTAAAAGAGGGAATCTTTTCCCACATTAAAAAATGGGAAACATTATTACAATGGAGGGAGTTAGGTCTCTATATGATAATACTCTGGACAGTTAGAAAATGGAGCAATTAAATGAGAGGATAATTAATTTAGACGGGATTTACATGATGTCAATTATAAATGTTATCTGTTTGATCATTTTTGTTTTATCATTAAAGTTGGTTAATATGAGTGCCAAGATAAAAGTTTTAGGAAAACTTATTAAAACAGATCATAGAGATATTCAGACCCAGACAGAGAAATTTAAAGGAGAACCAATCTCAGCATTATAAGGTTAGAGAGGAACAGCCTAAGGTTTTCAAACAAACAACCTTAATTTATCCAGTAACAGGAATTGCCAAATGATAAATATTCC